TTGCTTCAGGGGAACTTTGCTAGAACATGACTTCTCTTGGCACAAGGCAAGGAGTTACAGATCCCTTGCTGGGTCTCAGCCAAGTGAACATAGTAAAAGACTCAGAAATTCTTCATGAGAATGTAATGTCACTTAGAATGTGGGCCTAGTAGAAAATCTCAAGGACATACACATTGAAGAATAGACCAGAGAAGTCCAGACAAGAGAAGATGAGAAGATGAGACAAGAGAAGTTTAAAAGGTGGCTGTGAGGAAAATAATAAGCAAATGTAAAATTATTTATTCATATAACATAAACTTTAAGGAAAAAAGGTGTATTAAAGACAAACAAAAATGTTAATGGTGACTGTACTTGAAATGCAATGGCTAAGATGAAAAAAAATCTAAAAATTAATTCTTGACTAACTTGAGAGCTAGCCAAAGGGCGAGTGTTCACGTGTGTGTGTGTGTGTGTGTGTGTGTGTGTGTGTGTGTGTGTGTGTGTGTATCTTTCTTTCTCCTCTGGTTTGTTTCCATACACTAAATTTTCTTTTTTCTCTTTCCTTTCCTGGACCAATAAGGGTCCTGATGAAAGCTATTGTAAAGTGAATCCTCCCTAGATTTTTTTCATCACCCTGCTTCCCTCTTTTCTTTTCATCCCACTTACCTTGCCAAACCTCAAGCATATATCTTGCTTTCAGTGTTTAAAATTCTGTCTCAGTTTCAGTAAAGAAAGTTCTAGTGCCAGCAGTCCCATGCCATCTCTGGATCCAAATAAGTTGGCAGCCAAAGGAATTCGGGCCAATGTAATCAAAGTGAACGGGCCACCATTGGAGCACTCTGTTTTCCCCTATTCCTCTTTTCTCTTCATGACAGCAGCAGACACACAGAACCCAAGCACTAATCCCGCCACCTTTCTTCTCTAGACCCACTGCTTCTCCCCAGGACCCTCGTGGCTGGCACAATGGTGAGCTCTTTTTGTGTAAAGAGTACAAGGCAAGGCCCACTGTGACCTAGTCTTAATTAGGATTAAAAGATCTACTCCCCCTTGGTGAGTAGAAGTTCCGATGTAGTACTGGGTCTCACTTAGAGAGTCCTTGTTCAATGAATACTTCTTGAACTATTATTTGATGTGGACTGGAATGAAGAACCATAGGGGGAAAAAAGCCCACGTCTACCAAAGCTATCCAGCTTCCTGGACCATCTGACAAGTTGCAAAATGTCACTGGGTATTATGTCAATGAGGCTAGGGTTTGGGTGAAAAGGTGCACTTGGCTGCACTTGCTGCTGCTAATGACGTCAAGTTTCAGTCCCCAAAAGACCCATGGGCTTTGCACAAAGGAAAATGTACCATGTGGCCCTAAATCACTTCCATCCTTAACCGGGACTGAGGAGCTTGGACTTACTCTGCTTGCCAGAGTCTAGATTTGTGTAGGTCCTGTTCACCCTGGGAAGCAGGCAGGTAGATGACTCCACAGAAAATATCCAACCACTATCCATAGTAGTGTGAAGGAAAGGGAAGGGGGAAGAAATGGAGAAGTAAAAGGACATTAACATCACAGTATACTCCTCTCCTCTCTCCCCAAGCCCTAACTAGCTTTTCACTCAGATGAGATCCATATCAGTGTTCCCCAAATGCCTTAACCAAAGGTCCCTTTATATGTACAAGGTCCCTCTTGTACATATTTGTTTTAGTGGGACCAGAGATAAAAATTACAATTACAATTTAAAAAAAAAAAATCTCTCCCAGATGTGAAACATGAGGATTGCCACAAGTTAGAAGTCGCCCTGGGCTACACAGCAAGAACCAGGCAAACTACAGCTGCATCACAAGACCCTATCTCAAAAAACAAGCAAAATAATAACTATTGTTGAAACCTGTGGAATGACTACAGAGAATGAAACATGAATCCTAAGGCCGACGAGCCCAGGTCGCCCTGCCACCACCCAATGCCTGAACATGACACTCATGCTTGAATTTCCTAATGGCTGGTGAGGAAAGTTGACTGATTTTGCACTAGGACAACCCTAAAAGGTCTCCAGGCATGAGACAAGACAAGGGAGGCTAGAGTCTAAGGAGACTGCTTTCCTCGGGCTTCACTCCCTTTAATCTACGAGCAGACGTGTATGTGCCACTGCCAAAAGAAACTTTTCCTGCGCTGGCACCACCTGTTGGTCTAGGAAGCTGGGCAATTTTTTTTTTTTTCTGGAATCTATGCTTTGAGGTCCCTTCCAGCAGACATCTTGGATTTCATCCCCATAGTACCAACAGACTCATCACTAAGGATGGAGGCCTTTTGGGTTGTGTGATACAGTCCTTATTGGAATATATAGTCCTTTTTGGAGCCACGAATTATGGAAAACATAGAGAACTATTGTTCAGCTGAAGCAGGAGTTTCTGGTTTCTTTGAAGACTCAGTTTTGCTGTGTGATGTTTTGCTGAAGGCTTTGTTTTGTCAGAGGGGCATGACTTTGGCCAGCTGAGAACATCTGTGGGTGGACTCTGAGGAGGGGAGATATATAGAGGCCCACGCACAGTGAGGCATCACTTTTTGGATATCATCACGGTGCTGATCTTCATGCTTAGACACTTGACTTTGCAGAAACATTCCAGAGAACTTCTCAGGGCAATCCAACTGACGCTTGTGGCTTTCACTGACTTCTGAATCGTGCTGATTCCTGTTGTTGCTTGGTGTTGGCCTTAGGACTGGACTGCTGGTATCCTGAGGACTGAGTTTGGTAATCCGCTAAAGACCCATTGACCCTAATTAGCAGGAAGTAGATAAAAGAGGTCTATGGCCCTTTTCCCTACTAATCTCATATCTAAGGTGGGGAGGTTGTAAGGAAGGTAAGGTGTTTAAGAACTCTAAATAAAGTAGGTTTGGTGAAAAATCTAAGCCTACATTCAGCTTTGTATCATTATAATAAAATGCCTGACATGGACTATTTTGGAGACAAAGAACTTTTTTTTTTTTTTTTTTTTTTTTTTTTTTTTTTTTGGCTTACAGTTTGGGGGTTGAAGTCTAAAACGAGATATTACAATTGTTTGGGCATCTGGCAACAGTGGTATAACAGGATGAAAGCACACATGCGTCATAGCAAACCCATGTAGAGACTGAAAGGAGGAGGAAGGGGAGAGAGTATGTTGGCAGAGAGAGATGGAGAAGGAAAGAAAAGGGTATTACAGTCCCTTGTGGGGAGGCGTACTCTGACAGCACCTCCTAGCATCCTTACCATAGGAACTAAGGTTTACATACTGGCCTTTTGTATCCAAATCAGAGTGAAAGAGCAAAGAAATTTTCTTTATTCCCCTAAATTCTTGTTAGCTCACAAGATCATGTTCTCTCTTTATTTCTGAACTATGGAATAATCTGTCACCTCCTTGCTACCTCTCCTTGACTTCTACCTGTAAGGTAACAGAGTCTCCATTTATGAATCTAGGAAAGACGTTCTTATTGGACCTCCGCCCTCAGCTAGAAGCATTTGACAAATGGATTGCTCAGACTCCCTGTCTTGCCTGTTGATGGTTGTCTTAGTTAGGGTTTTTGATTTGCTGCAATGAAACACCATGACCAAAAAACAAATTGGGGCTGGATGAGATGTTAGTATAATGTTCTTTTGGAATATATACACCTTACCCTTGTTCATTCTAATGCTGATTTCTCTCCCCCACTATCTGGTTTCAATCCAGACATTGCATTGTGATACTTACTCTAAGCATCACCTGTATCGAGTTTGTATAAATATGCCACCATTTGTTCTCTAATTTGTCAATTAAAACAACCAGCCACAATGTTGAGAGGATAGGGTGGGGCTTCCTGGTTCAGAGTGGGAGGAGAGGAAGGAAGCAGAAGGGCAAGAAGGAGTAGGAGGAAGAGGGGAGGAACCAGAGGAGAGGAAGGAGTAGGAGGGAGAAGAGGAGCAGAACCTGGGCAAGTGGCTGGAGGAGAGGTCTTAGAAGGACGTGGAGAAATGAACTGGATCTAAGATACCACTAAAAGCAAGTATAATGGGTAAATCTAAATGGTATGAAACTATGCGGGCTTTGGAGGTTTAGGATGGAGTAACTATTGCCCAGCATTGTGTTCTAAGTTAACTAAATAAATCCTAGTCTCTGTGTGGTGATTTGGTTAAACAGCTGTTTAGGATTAACCACAGCTTTACTAAAAGATATACCAATAGTAAATATTGGTTTACAATTCCATATTGGTGTTCATCATCAAAGGAAGTCAGGACAAAAACTCAAACCTTTGCAAGGCATCAGTGTCAAACCTGCTTCCCAGCAAGAGAATTCAGCTCCCCCAAAGCACTGTCATCGAAAGCAGCTAACTTCTCACTATCAGCCCACAAGAGACCATGGACCTCAAAGTTTGTTTATAAAAACTATGGTAACGCCAAGCTCTCTGGCAAGGGTAAAGGCCCTGCCAGCAAATAAAAGACAAAGCTGCAGCCACCAAAGCCCTCTAGACTGAGCCTAACTGAGAGGGCCCTCTGTTTCTCTGCCCTTGATGATGGCTTTCAGGGCATTTTAATCCTTTGATGGTCTCAGGGTCCCATCCTACAAGACATTTAGAAAACATCCTCCTTGCCAGGAATCCCATTACAGTCCAGCCCCACAACTTGCCGCTTTCTTTTTGATGTTCTTATTTTAATGGGACATGTACTCAAATGTGATTTTTTTTAAATCATGTATTTTTTTTTTCCTATGCTAGAGAAGAAGCTGAGAGTTCTACATCTAGATAGGCAGGCAGCAGGAAGAGAGTATCACACTGGGCCTGTCTTGAGCTTCTGAAGTCTCAAAGCCCACCCCCAGTGACGCACTTGCTCCAACAAGCCCATACCTCTTAATATCACTCCCTCTGAGCCTCCAGGGGCCATTTTCATTCAAACCACTATAGCTACTATAACCATCTTGTATTAATGAGTCCTCACTTCTCCAGGTTAAATATCCCCAGATGCTTTAATAGGTCTGATTGAGAAGCACCACTTAATGCTTATGCAATGCTTTATGTCTTGTGAACCATGATACATCAAGTTGCTACTAATTCCTCTCCCATCAGCCATAGGGAAGATGAGACCCTGGTTCTGGAAGGTAAAAGAGCACAAGGAAATGTGTCATCTCCTAGAGCTTTCTAGAAGCAATCAGCACTGACTTTAGTCCAATGTAACTGTGGACTTCTGATCTCCAGAACCCAAAAATATTAAATTATATTATTTAAAACATAATTTGCATACTGGATCGCATGAGTCACTAGCTGGGAAAACAGAGCTAATTGACTAGGATGGAGGTTTGTTAAGACCCTTCTGAGGAAGACATCACACTCGAGGTTGACCCCTCTGATACTATTGAAAATGTAAAGATGCAGGATAAGGAAGAAACTCCTCCTGCTCAGCAGAGGCTGTTCATTTCTGGTAAGCAGCTAGAAGATGGCCATACTTTATCTGACTACAACATTCAAAAGGAGGACACCCTTCATCTTGTGCTGAGACTCCGTGGTGGTGCTAAGAAAAGGAAGAAGTCTTACACCACTCCCAAGAAGAATAAGCATAAGAGGGAGAAGGTTAAGTTGGCTGTCCTGAAATACTATAAGGTGGATGAAAATGGCGAAAGTAGTCATCTTTGTGGAGGTTGTCCTTCTGATGAGTGTGGTGCTAGAGTTTTCACAGCTAGCCACTTTGACAGATTTTATTGTGGCAAGTGTTGTCACTGTTTCAACAAACCAGAAGACAAGTAGCTGTGTGTGAGTTAATAAAAAGAAGGAACTGAGAGCCAGGCACAGTGGCACACACTTATAATCCCAGCACTCACGGCGACAAAGGCAGACAGATCGCTGTGAGTTTGAGGCCAGCCTGGTCTACAAAGCGAGTCCATGACAACCAAGGCTACACTAAGAAGCCCTGTTTTGAAGGGGGAAAAAAGGAACTAAAAGAAAGAAAGAGAGAAAGAGACATCACCTCATAAAGGGCTCGGTTATTCCAAAGGACATGACAATTCTGAAATGTAAATATCTAATGAGAAAAAAACGTTTAAAATGCTGACAGAATTACAAAAGGAAATTTTCTAAATCCATAGTTATTAAATTTGTAGATTTCAATTTCTACCTCACAAGAAAAAGAAAACAAAATTGAGTTTTGTCTATGGCTATTAGTGCATAATTCCCTCCCCCAAGACAGGTCAGAAAAACTAAAATTTCTCTTCTCTAAGAAAAGTCATAGAAACTCTAATGCCAATACACGGAGACAGACAGACAGACAGACAGACACACACCCACACACACACACGCACACACACACACACCTTTCTGTGTTGGAATTGGCCGTAAAGAAAATCTCTGAGGGGCTGGGGAGACTCTCAGTGGCGAAGAGGACTGGCTGCTTTTCTAAAGAACCTGAATTGGGACCCCACCCACACGGCAGCTTACAACCCTCGGTAACAACAGTTCCAGGGAATTCAGTGCCCTTTTCTAACCTCTGTATGCACCAGTCACACAAGTGGGACACGAAAATACATGTAGGCAAAGCACAAACACGTATTTTTAAAAATTTAAAAACGTATTTAAAAAATAAAGTAAAAACAAAGTAAAAATGAGCATCAAGCATTTTTTTTTTAATCCCGAGCCTACCCTTGTCGGAGAATAAGTCTTAGGACCCTCCTCAGTCCACGGGGCTTTTACTTATACCCTGGAACGTTGCGAAGCTGAACAGAGGCCGAGAAGCAGATGGGCTTCTCTGGGCTTCCTATCACTCTATCAACATCGCAGACCCAGTGACGTCCTCGTGGTGCGACTCAAAGGGAAACTCAGAAGGGGGCAGAGGGCTTCTGGGAAGTGGGAATGGAGAGGTCCCTGGTGGGGAGGGAGAAGAGGCTTCCCCCCTCCTCCTCCCCTTTCTTCCATATTTCATTGCCTGCACCTCTTCCTCGGCATCCTTCATAATGCTCCTACTAAATTAGCAAGCGCATTTCCTTGAGTTCTGTGACCCACTCAAGCAAATTAATCTAGTACAAGAACCCCAGTTTGTAGCTGGTGGGTGAGAAATCTGTGAGGGTCACAGAGGTACGAGAGCAGAGGGGGAAAAAATAGGTCTTCTTTTTTTTTCCTGACATGCATCAGTAACTACTTTCATTAGAGAGCAGAAAAAAAAAATAAACAAATGGTAAAATTATGTGAACAACTAAAAGAAGAAGAAGAAGAAGAAGAAGAAGAAGAAGAAGAAGAAGAAGAA